ATATATATTTGTTTTCTCTCATTCTCTGAAGAAGCTTTAATAAAAGCGAAACCTGTTAGATTAATATAGGTTTCAGATTTTCTCTTTATTTGTCATCCTGATGGAATGCGAACCGTATTTGATCTGCATTTCATCTTTAACACACACACAAAAAAACAAAAATATATATATATATATATATATATATATATATATATATATATATATATATATATATATATATATATATATATATATATATATATATATATATATATATCGCTGCTCATTTGTTCAGTCAATCGTATTCTCAGCATCCTTCGGTAGAACCATATTTTTGTTACCTCAAGTCAATTCTTCGTCTCTGATAGAGAGCCTCGATTCCAGAACTTAAAACAAAGAAGTAATACCAAAGATTATATAGTCCGAATCATGGTACTAAAAACAACAAATAAAACGATCATAGCCCGAAAATCTCTGGAAGAACGAAACTAAATGTATCCATCGAAAGAATATATTTCAGACAACAAGGACGTGCACAAAATCAAGTGGAAATATTTAATCTCAAAACTTTCGTAACTAGTGATTTCTCTCAATGGTCAAAAATAACATTTATTTTAATTTTAGCCAATAGAAATACGACTGACAAAATCATCGGTCAGAAAGCTTTTCATTGTTTTTGTTTTCTTTCATTTTTTTTCTTTCTTTCTTTTCGCGCGCTTTTTTCTGACATTAATGGTGAATGGCATCAGAGGCTTGTAAATTGATCTGCACGTGGCTAGCCATGCATCTGTCACCGAAACTGCGCTGACCAGGTCGTAAGACAACAGACTGAAATTGTTCAGGGTTTATGAATGATAACATCTTAAATTCCGATCACGCAGCCGGCGATGCATTCATAAAACTGACTGTTTGTCTGTGATTCGATGGGGCCAAAGATTACGAGTTAGTCATTTGGCTCGCCTGACGGATAGGAAGACAATGAAACCAGCTCACAGACGTCCACACGAAAATATATACTGACAAGAGGGGTGACTATGAACGGGCTTGGCATATTAGTTTTTTATTGCTCTCTTTTGTAAAAAGTTTTTATTCAGAATTTAACCCCTCACAAGCAAGAGGTTAACATTTTCTGAAAGAAGAAATTTTGCGCCTTCTAACGAAATTACTGGTAAGTACATCCTTATATATATATATATATATATATATATATATATATATATATATATATATATCTTTTGTTAAATATGACGTGCAATGTGCAATAAAAAACATCTATCAACCAACAATATGCAAGAAAACTAAAAAGAAAAACTCTCGTCGCAAACACTAACATTCTATGTAAATCAAATTACCGAAAACATGTCGATATTAGAGAGGCCTTGTATATAAAACATCTCTCTCCCACTATCAATCTCACTTTGTTTAACAATGGGAACAGCGTGCTGGTAGCATTTTTTTTTTTTTTTTTTTTAATGGAAAGAGGTTTACTTGAATCCAGACGTGCTCAACGGGAGAAGGCTCGGGAAAAAAACGCTCCTACTGGTATTCAACCCCCCCCAAAAAAAATCTCAAACAGACAAAACATGAAAAGAAACTAAAACATCAAAACAAAAACCATTTTCAAAATGGCTAAGGACGACGCTGAAAGCACTTGGGGTGCCAGGGTACTGGGCAATATGGACAGTTATTGTACTCCCTTACTCCCAAGAGACGGAAAAAGTAAGAACGCTAGAAAAACTAAAATAACACATTAATACAATTTTCATTGTCATATTTAACGAAAGACGTTTAAAAGAAACATTGCTGCAAAAATATACATTAATCATATATATATATATATATATATATATATATATATATATATATATATATATTGAACAATAAAAATATTAAAAAATTAAAATCTTCACGCACACTGGGTTGTATATTAATATTATTTCGTTTTTATTATTATTTCATTTATATTCCTCGACTAGTTTCGGCCAACATGGCCATCATCAGGAGAAAAAAAAGTTTGCTTGCTGGTAGCAGTGAACTACAGAAATGAATGTCTTGATGGAGAAAATGAACTTTTGTCTGTAGTTTTCATTTGTTTTTTTACTTTTTTTAACATGAATTTTGGTCAGACCTTGTGTTGGTCAAACAGTCTCTTTTAAGTTGTTATTTGAGATAAGATCTGGATGGATTCATGCTGCTCTGAATTCCCTTAGTCATTTTGACAGTTTTATTGGTTCCTGGAAAGAGGATGTGTCTCTGTTAACTGTGTGTGTGTTATTTGGTTCTTATTGAGTGAGTGAGTATGATGTGTGTAAGTGTGTATATTACAATGGGTGCGTGTTATCATTTGGCTCATTAGGGAGTGAGTGAGTATGATGTGTGGGTGTGTGTATAAGTGTGAGGCCTCAACACCTCCGTAAGCATGTCTGTCTTGTGTGGGTGAGAAATGTGGATAGGTTTTGATTTGTATCGTTATATATTAATTCTATCTATATTGTTTAATTTATAGTTAAGCCCGACTGGATAGTTTGTTTTTAGACGTTGTATCCACTTATTTTCATGGGACTCTAAAATCTTTCTAATATTATCTGCTCTGGACTTTTCTATTCTCTAAATTATAGTGAATTTGGCATGGGTTTTGAAATCGTGTTTTTCTCGGCGGAAATGTTGTTCTACAGGTAATAATCTTTCATTTTATGTAAACGCATACACATATATATAAATATATATATATTTAGACATGTTCTGTCTACTAATTTTCAGTTGGATCCTTTCATATTCACGGATAAGCTTGTTGGTGTCGTTACTGAAGTCAAGAGAAAATTTTTTGTATTCCGAGTACTTTCGACATGGCACATTGTCATCATCAGGGTGTTGTTTATTGGAAGACAAATATAGTGTTCATTATTGTCGAAGACGAAATTGTTATGTTCATGTGGAAGTTAAACTACTTATTGTGGAGTAAAGAAGGCTGATTCAGTGGGTGATCGTTGACGTTGACACCGTGTAAGGGGAGGTAACTACATATGATTGTAGAGTAGAAAAAATATGACATTAATATAATTTTCATTACACACACACACACACACATATATATATATATATATATATATATATATATATTTGAAAGTTTCTTTGAAAACGACTGTCAAGATGTAGTGGTTGAATTCGTCATGTTTACGTATACCTTTTTTCAGGACCAAATTTATATAAAAAAATACCCGAAGGTATTATATATCCTAGCACTTTCGACTATACATTTAAACGGATGTTTTATTGTTCAAATACGGTCAGCATATTTTGACTGTGTTCATAGTTGATAATATTGTGGATTGGCTTTTTCTTTTCTATGAATAATGTTTCCATTTTGGGCCTTTTTCTACATATAGATGATGCTATTAGATTTGTATTATCAACAAGTATATTACGGATAGAGTTTGGTAAGTCTACGTGTCTATTTAAATGAGACGAAATTGAACTATTGTCAGAGAGATGTAACGTGATTCTTCTTGTTAAACATGTTGTTGTATATCCAATATAATTATCTATGAATTTGGATTGGTCAAGATCACAGCTTCTTAAGGGACATGTAAATTCATAAACTTGCATGCCCAAGTACAAAATTTATATATATATATATATATATATATATATATATATATATATATATATATATGTATAAAATATGTTTTTTCCGCTACACAGTTCTAACCATGTTTCAAAAATAGAAGCGAAAAGCCCCGAATTTAATTTTGCAATTAAATTAAAAGCATTAGTTCCATTTCATCCTCAAGCTAATTTTGGAGTAACTTTTAAAAAAAATTACTGGGTTTTAAAGACACAGCTAAAATCACGTTTCCATGGTTACAGAATATTCTACTTCAATTGGATGTCTAGGTTTTCCTTATGACAGTATCATTGTATCAGTTATTACCAAATTGTAGCTAATAACATGGTTAGAACTGTGTAGCGGAAAAAAACATATTTTAAATCAATTAATTTATAATATTACTGCTCTGTAAATAATACATTGAGCACTATTTTGTAAAAATAAAAATATCTATAAGAACACCGGATTATATATCTTACTGTTCTTTCTTTTATTTATATACATACATATATATATATATATATATATATATATATATATATATATATATATATATGTATGTATATGGTTTTTTAACCAAATCTCTCTCTCTCTCTCTCTATATATATATATATATATATATATATATATATATATATATATATATATATATATATATATATATAAATTTGGTTTTGCGATCATCAGACAAACTGGAAAAATTGCATCTATACACACCGACACACATACATACAGGTGTACGCATTTTAGTTCACGCAAACGCATCCATATAAACAATCCATGCGTTCGGGCATACATAGAATTAAATAGAATTACAAGTGCATTAGTATGTATCTGCGCCCAGTTTTGAATTGTTTATATGGGTGCGTTTTTGTGAACTAAAATACGTACACCTGTATGTATGTTTGGCTATTTTAAAAAATAAACCATTTTGTCTGATGATCGCAAAAGCGTGAAACGCAGGGTAACAAAATCCGAACCATAAAACTGAATATGTTAACTTTATCACTGATATTATACGCTTTCAACTAAGTAATGCCCATATAAACTAATATATATATATTTAGTTTTTAACTAAATCTCTTTCTCTCTCTCAATCTCTCTCTCTCTCTCTCTCTATATATATATATATATATATATATATATATATATATATATATATATATATATATTATTTCAGAATAAAGCATATACACTTACTATTTCTATAATACAATTCCTAAATTTATGTATTAGTCAAAAAATAAAATAAGCTTTTCTTTCCATCGAACATGTACGGGGTCTACCAAAACTAATTGATATAAATCTGGTCCCTGGATAAAAAGAAAATGATTGAGAACCGCTGCTCTACATGTTTCTAGTATGAAACAGTCTGTCTCCTCGGAGTGTTGACTTAAATGTTCACTTTTAGAGTTATCTATCTATCTATCTATCTATCTATCTCGACCTATTTTATCTGTCAATTTATATTCAAATTTTTAAAATTTGCCAAAATACTTGCTATCTATTATTTTTTCTCGGTTAGTTTCAGATGTTGTTACCTTAAATTTCAAGAATTGTTTTGTGTATTTTTTTATGTTTCTCTTTATTTCCTTCATCCCTCCCTTTGATAGAACCCCCCCACCCTCCAAAAATATAAAAGTCCAACCTAATATTGTTGAAATCAAATGTAGCAAATTTCGTAAGTACTTGCGAAAAAATAATATAAAATAAATATGAACTTTTGGCAAATTTACCGATTACATAAAGCAAAAAAAAATTTTTAATAATGAATTCATCGACACAACTTGATCATATATATATATATATATATATATATATTTATGAATAAAAATGACAATAGGAAAACTGGTAATTGCTGACGCGTTTCGTCCAATGTGGACTTTATCAGCAATTACCAGTTTTCCTATTGTCATTTTTATTCATAAATATTGTCTTCTCTACCGATTAAATCGGAGAAATTTTCATATATATATATATATATATATATATATATATATATATGTGTGTGTGTGTGTGTGTGTGTGTGTGTGTGTGTGTGTGAGAGAGAGAGAGTGTGTGTGTGTGTTCTGTGAGAAGGATACTCTAGTGTGGAACATAACGCTTTTGTGCTTCATCGAAACTGGAAAGTGAAGCCTGTGAAGATCCCACCCCTCTATGGCAACAGTACCCCATTTTCGGCCTGATCTGGCTCATAGTAGAAGGAGTCGGGGACTATTAATGTCATGTTTCTTGTCCCTTCAGAAAGCAAGAGAACATGCCACCCCCACATCATCCTGTTCTCTGTAGCTCTTAATAAGCTTTGTCTTTTTGTTATTATCCCATGCCTTGTTCTGCCATCCATTTGCTTAAACACATCAAGTATGACACAGCTTTTCCTCTGTCCCTTTTTCAATCCGTCCTGTGAGTATCATATTTTCAAAGCCCTCCTTTTTGATAAGGAGCCCCAAGAAAGATCAACTGCCCTTTCCTGATGTTAAGGACAAGATTCATTTTTGTTTTCCTTATCTCTGAAACCTCGTTGTTGCTCACATCTTCTGTCCATGATATTCTCACTATCTTTCTGTACAGCCACATTTCGGTTGCATCAAGTCTCTTCTTCATCTGTAATGACATTGTCCATCATTCGCTGCCATAGTGACGGACTGATATTACATAACAGTTCAGTATTCTTTTCTTTATTTCTGTTGATTGAAGTAACTTCTTCATCTGTGAGGAGAGTTTCCAGCATCCACTGTCATATATGAGGACTGATATTACATAACAGTTCAGAACCCTTTTCTTTGTTTCTGTTGCTTCAAGTCTCTTCTTCATCTTTGAGGAGATTGTCCAGCATTCACTGCCATATAGGAGGACTGATATTACATAACAGTTCAGTACTCTTTTCTTTGTTTCTCTTCCTTCAAGTCTCTGCTTCATCTGTGAGGAGATTGTCCATCATTCACCCCCATAAAAGAGCACTGATATTACATAACAGTTCAATACTTTTTTTCTGTTTCTTAATACTCTGCTTAGGTTTTGGAATTAATCTTTGTTTATCAAAATACCCATTTGGATTTCAGTGTCGCTGTTTCTGCCTCTGTTATTACACTTCCCCGATATTTAAATCGTTGTTCCTACGAGTTCGAATCAAACCAAGGTGAAGACGACTTTTTAATTGTTTTCCACTTTTTTTTCTTTTTGTCTTTTTATGAATATGAATATATATATATATATATATATATATATATATATATATATATATATATATATTTGATTCGTTCATTTTTAGAGTTTATCACTCTTTACAAGGTATTTAAAGTCGAGAAATATTTTTAGATTATTTTTAATTCTATTTTGATGATGATAGCACTTTATTTATACACATCTTAATAATTAACCCATAGCTGGCGGGGGAAGAGATGGATTCATACTTTTCTCAAGAGTATTTGCACGTAAGTGTCTATAACGAACTCGACTGGAATTAAAACTCGGCTCTCCGATTTCCAATTCCGAGCCTTTATCCACTACACCACACGCACATCCAAGCACCTGATATTCCCAAGCGGTTACCAGTCTAGGTACTTACCAATTTAATTGTGTTTTAACCGCAGTATCCTATCAGTTGTTTTTAATGAAACATGTATGAAAGTGGGATTGCTGTCCAAATACACAATTATTACATGACATGGCCCGGCAGTCAACAGTCAGAAAAAATGTATAACCGCAATCAGTTGCAAGGGTTCCGTCTATCCAATTTCACTCACAAGGTTTGGATTAACCTTTGGTATGGTTTTCAGGCACTTTCCAAAGGTACCACACGCTGGGATCGACCCCTCCAGACCGATAACATCAAGGATTCACTTTTCCCGAGAAATCGACCATGGTGACATTCGAACCCGGGGCGCGTGGTCAGAAAGCGAAGTCACAAGTCATCGTGACTGAGGGTTTGAGCGTGCTGTTCACAGTGTTGATCACACGGTATAACGAGCTATCTCCGAGAAAGTGTAACTAAGATCTGCTCAGCGCAGTTGCAGTATAAACCACAGGAGGGATGTGTGGATGTTGAATAAACACAAATGTGACTGAGCAGGCGTCTGCAATGGGATTGGCTAGTCGAGTTAGTAGATTGGCATTGATTCAAGTGGATGCGCAATTTACCTTTTTTATTACCATTGTATAATGTTGTACTCATCTTTGTTACCATATTTATCACCCTTCAGTATCTGTGTATATTTCTGAGATGAGGTATTTTGTACACTTTACATTATTCGGACTATTGTCCTCATCTTTGTTGCCATATTTATCACCCTTCAGTATCTGTGTATATTTCTGAGATGAGGTATTTTGTACACTATTTACATTATTCGGACTATTGTCCTCTCATCTTTCAGTATCTGTCTATATTTCTGAGATGAGGTATTATGACAACACTATTTACATTATTCGGACTATTGTCCTCATCTTTGTTGCCATATTTATCACCCTTCAGTATCTGTGTATATTTCTGAGATGAGGTATTATGTACACTATTTACATTATTCGGACTATTGTCCTCATCTTTGTTGCCATATTTATCACCCTTCAGTATCTGTCTATATTTCTGAGATGAGGTATTATGTACACTATTTACATTATTTATTTATTTATTTTATTATCTTTGTCGCTGTATGTTATGGTCCAAGTTCCTAGTACCATGGTCCAAGATTAGAACCAATGAAAAAATAACACGAACACAGGTATGGAATACAAAGATATATTACAACAGAAATATAATACAAAGAAGTCGAAGTATTAGTAATGACTATCAGATTTGGTTAGAGTGAACTATGTTGTCTCGTCAAGTATCACTATTCCAATGTCCTTACAATATGCTCTCAATTATCTCTCCTCGTCTTCCAATCTCCTCATACCTCTTGAGAGGCGCAGTATTTATAATGTCAGGAATAGTCCATTATTATTATGGGTAGTTCCCATAACACTATATTTATCACAACCTTTCGGCCGTTGTACGTTCTGGCCTTCTTCAGGTGGTTGGAATGTCGAATGTGCCATGTGTCCTTAACAGCAGTCTACCACAGCGATATGGCAACAAAGATGATGACACATGGCACAGTGGATAAAGCGTTACCCAGATCCAGTGACAGGACCCAAAGAGTGTGAGTTCAATGCCCGTTGGAGAACTTCCAGAGGGAAATTATCAGGAGATAACTGATAACTAACATCTATTAAACATGGCACATGGAACTAGAACAGTCTACCACAGTGAGCGAAATAAAGGGTTCAGTTCGACATTTCAACTACCTGAAGAAGGCCAGAGCGTACAACGACCGAAACGTTGTGATAAATATGGCGACAAAGATGACAACTGTCCGAATAATGTAAATAAGTATTGTATTCAATATAATAAATATGGGTTCAAATTAATATATATAAAATGAAATAATCTCACTCGAGGTCCTTTTAAGATAGTTCTCAAGTATATACAAAAAAATAAATAAAAACAATCTTTAAAATTAATCTTTTATTAAATATAACTCTCTGTTAAATATATCTAATTCAATGTATGTTGATACCCGGATGTCAGCTAATGGTGACGCATCTTAAAAATATCATTTCATCTAGACATGAATGAATAATATATCTACCTGAAAACCTCCAACCTATATTTCTCACTTTTCTGCTTTGCCTTTGACCTGACTCTTAACTGGTTAACCTAGACATACCCAAAAAATCATGTTCCCCCTCCTTTTTAACTCTTAAATAAACTATCTTATTGTTTTCTGTTTTTAAAAGTAAATCCTTTTCGTCATAGTTAGCAAACATCGCCTGATGATGGAACTATTTTAAGTTCCGAAACATAGAAATTTTTATGTAGCGATGTGAAATATTCTTAAACAATATATTATCATGTTTTTTTAAGATTTATTTTATATTTTAATATATTATAATAATTTTATAATATTTTGCTCTGTGTTGTAGCGATGACTTTTCAAAAAAAAAAAAAGTAAATGCTAAAGAACTTTGTATTCTTAATCTGTCTGTTCTTTATCTTTATTTGGACATATATATATATATATATATATATATATATATATATATATATATATATATATATATATATGTGTGTGTGTGTGTGTGTGTGTGTGTATTCTGTGTATATGTTATTTTTTATGGATAAAACTTATTTGAGTAAATATTCTGTTTTAAATTAAACAACAGGAACAATACATTTATCGGCGTGAATATAATTAAAATATATGTATTTAAACAATTTCATAATATATATATATATATATATATATATATATATATATATATATATATATATATATATTAGTGTATAATAGAAGCAGATCATTATTCAGACATGTATTGTTATATATAACAGACAACGAATGTCTATTATGTTCTATTACAAGCCGTTGTAAGCTTCGTATGTTGGCTTTAGTTTCAAGAGAAAATAAAGACAAAAACTG